TTTTGCCTTACAAATTATTTGTACAGCTTTGACGACTTTGGCTTTTGTCTTCTTTTCTCAAACACATTTTCCAATAAAGTTGATATGAAATATGATACCAAACTCATTTTTTGTTTAGTTTTTCAAATTTTGAGGGCACTTTTTATCATTATATTCTAGGTTAGGGGTTTATTTTTTATAATTAAAACTTCGAGGGCCTAATTTGTAAATTTGTATTAGTTTGAGGGTTATTTAGTTAAAAAAAATTGGACTACGAGGTGTACCGAGTGCAATTTCGACTATAGCTTATGGGTATTTTTTTTAGTTCACCAATATGTCTAGAGATGTCCATGGGACGGGGACGGGGACGGGGACGGACATGGGACTTCTCTTTCCCTATTCCCATCTCCGCCACCTATTTCATTCTCTATTCTCGCAAAATTTTTCATTTATTTCGATAGGGATTCATTGCAAATATATATATATATATATATACTATTTATTATTCATTTTTCAATATAATGTTTATTAAAATTTTTGTAAAAAAACATTAAATTATCCACTTAAAATTCAAATTTTAATTCTTAAATAATTAAAAAAAAATCAGATTGCCAACGTTGCAAATCAAAGACATGCTTGTTGGATCACTGTAGGTCAACGCATGCCAAACGTTGACCTCCACAAAACGTGGAACCCCATGCTCTTTATATTATAAATAAAAAAAATACCTCAACTAAATGAATAATGTAGCCATACATCACATAAATTTAATATTTTTTTTTAATATAGTCTTAAATTTAATAATGTTTACTGTCTTGCTATATTAACTTATGAATTATTATGATACTCGTAATATTAACGTATAGTATACAAATATACCTATCTATCTTGCAGTAGGGTAGGGTATTATATCTCGACAAAAACTTTGATATTAAATTTTTGAATAATAGAAAGAACGAGAAATACAAAAGTTATACGATTTAAACTACATTTCAACTAATTGACAGAAATAACAATCTTCCAAACAGTCTAAACGACAAAGATTAAAATGAACGAAATGAAACTAAAATAAGTAGGATAGTCAAACAAAACAGGAACATGACCCTAAAATGGCTCACACGTCGGAGTATGAGTTGTTTTATGGCAATCATTTGGTGTCTTTTTTTAACTCTTGTTTCCTCCAACCTTCATGGAAACACCAAAAGAACAAAAATTATAAATTATTTTTCCTCCTTCTTAGCCCTTCTCTCCTTAACTTCCTCGTTCAAGCCTCTTTCTGGGCATCTCTGTTCCTTGCAGAGCCTGCAATTTGCAGTTCATCCATTGGTTGTAGGGGCCATTTTTGAAGGCGTTTGGTTTGATGTTGATACCCACAAGGGGTTTAAAAAGATGATGTTTTTCTGGTTTTTGGAGATTGTGGGAGGAAGATTATTACAATAATGGGTTGCTTTTCATGTTTTTCATCTCATGGGAAAGCACCGAAAAAAAGAAAGAATTGTAGAAGGAAACAATCTGTTTCGTTGCATTCTGGCAGTCTTAAACCACAACAACAACATCATTATCCTGCTCCTCCTCCTTCAGGTCATTTTTACTTCTTCTTTTGAATTTTCTTCTTAATTTTCAAATTCGTAAATCGGGTTGTGATAGAGATTGAAAGTCTCGATGAGGATGAGGATGGAGAAGGCTTCCCAATTCGATTCCGCTCATGGAAATTGGACAGGAATAGAGTAATAGAGATTGAAAATCTCGTCAAGGATAGGGATGGAAAAGGCGTCCCAACCCAACCCCATTTGTGGAAATAGGGCAATGATCGTAATTGGAATTCTTGACCGAGATGGAAAGATACGTCCTAAACCCAACCCCATTATCTTCTCATGATGTTGGAATGATTGGAGGTCATATTATGTAAGATCCCACGTTGGCTGGAAGAAGAAACAAAACATAAAACATTCCTTATAAGCGTGTAGAAAACTTTCCTTAGCATGTCTTTTAAAAACTTTGAGATTGACAACGATATGTAACGAGCCGAAACGGACAATATCTTCTAGTGGTAGGTTTAGACGGTTGCAAATGATATTAAAGCCAGACACCAGGTTGTGTGGCAATGAGAATGCTGGCCCCCACGGAGGTGGATTGTGAGATCTTACATCGGTTGGAGAGGATAACGAAACATTTTTTATATAAGGGTGTGGAAACCTCTCCCTAATATATGAGTTTTAAAAACTGTGAGACTGATGAGGATATCTTGGATCGTAAACTTAAAATGACGAAGTTTACATTATATGTACAGAAAATCCAAAAGGAAACCAAGTGCAAAATGAAGCAGAGAAAGAAAATGAGATTGGAGGAAAGAACAACATTGCAGCAAAAACCTTCACGTTCAGAGAGCTGGCCACTGCCACGAAGAATTTCCGCGAAGAGTGTCTGATCGGAGAGGGCGGGTTCGGGAGAGTTTACAAAGGTAAACTCGACAAAATTTCCCAGGTACCATATTCATCGTCCCGTCTCCTGTTTTCCTCGTTTGATAATCATTTTATTTGTTTTAAGATGACGCGTTATAGACGAGTATCAAAGGGTAAAGTTTTGGCATGTCACAGGTTGTAGCAGTGAAGCAGCTTGATAGGAATGGACTGCAAGGGAATAGAGAGTTCCTTGTGGAGGTTTTGATGCTAAGCCTTTTACACCATAAGAACCTTGTCAATCTCATTGGGTATTGTGCAGACGGTGATCAAAGACTCTTGGTCTATGAGTATATGCCTTTGGGATCTCTAGAAGATCATCTACTTGGTAATAAACATATATAAAACCTTTGCTCGGTTTAATGGTGAGATCTCATGTCGTTTGGAGAGGGCAATGAAACATTCCTTATAAGGGTGTGAAAATCTCTCCCTCGTAGATGCGTTTTAAAATTGTGAGGTTGACAATATTTGCTGGGCTTGGGCTGTTATAAATGCTATTAGAGCCAGTCACGGGATGGTGTACCAGCGCGGTTGCTGAGCCTCAATGGGGTGGATTGTGAGATCCCACATCGGTTGAAGAGGGGAACAAAACATTCTTTATAAAGGTGTGGAAACTTCTCCCTATCAGACGCGTTTTACAACCGTGAAACTGACGGCGATACGTAACGAGCCAAAGTGGACAATATCTTCTAGCGGTAGGCTTGGGCTATTACAAATGACATCAGAGTCAGTCATTGAGTGGCGTGCTAACGAGAATGCTAGCTCCAAAGGGGTGGATTGTGAGATCCCATATCCCTTGAAGAAGGGAACAAAACATTTCTTATAAGAGCGTGTAAACCTCTCCCTAGCAGACGCGTTTTAAAATCGTAATGGGTTAAAGGAGATAATATTTACTATTGGTGGGCTTGAACGGTTACATTGATCTTCTATTATGGTTTCAAACAAATGACTCGAGTTATGTTTAATGATTTGGCATAGACCTTCCAGCGGATAGAAAGGCATTAGATTGGGCAACAAGAATGAAAGTAGCGTTGGGAGCAGCAAAAGGGCTAGAGTACTTGCACGACAAAGCCAACCCACCTGTGATATATAGAGATTTGAAAGCATCAAACATTCTGCTGGACAATGATTTCAATGCAAAGCTGTCTGATTTTGGGCTCGCAAAGCTTGGGCCTGTCGGGGACAAGTCCCACGTTTCCTCCAGGGTGATGGGAACCTATGGATATTGTGCTCCCGAGTATCAAAGAACAGGCCAGCTCACTCTCAAATCCGATGTCTACAGCTTTGGTGTTGTCTTGTTGGAGCTCATCACTGGCAAGAGAGTCATCGACGACACTCGTCCAGCCAACCAGCAAAACTTGGTCACTTGGGTAAGCTATTGAATTGATATGATAAAAATGTTAAAGTGCACCATTTGTTCGACACGGCAGTCATGACCAAGTTTAGGACATGGTTATGATACCATATTAGGAATCACGGATCTCCACAATGGTATGATATTATTCATTTTCAGCATAAGTTTTCGTAGCTTTTCTTTAGGCTTCCCTAAATTATCTCATACCAATGGAGATATTATTCTTGACTTATAAACTCAGGATCATTCCTTAAATTAACCAACGGGACTCCTCGACAAAAAAAAAACATAACATAAACCAACATATTTCATTTTCATGCATGCAGGCATGCACAATATTCAAGGAACCAACTAAATTCATGGACCTGGCAGATCCTCTTTTGGGTAGGGACTTCCCTGTGAGATCTCTAAACCAAGCCGTCGCGGTGGCTGCAATGTGCCTCCACGAGGAAGCGATGGTGCGACCATTGATCAGCGACGTCGTCACGGCTCTTAGCTTCTTGGGTGCAGAAGCCACGCACTCGTCGTCTTTGTCATTGTCGTCGATCGATGATCCTTCACTGATAGTATCTGATCAAAATTTGATCAACCAATCAAAATCCAACGACGAGGAAATAGCCGAGGCCCGCCAGCGAGCAGTCGCCGAAGCCATCGAATGGGGTTCCTCCTCCAAGCAAAATGCCGCCGCCTCGCGCCGGGGAAGTTGTTCTTCCTTGTAAATTTGTTAAGAACAGATATGCACAATGTGGTGTTGATTTTACATGTATAGTATTGGATTCTCCACAATGTGGGAAGCAATATGACGATGAGACACAAAAATGGTAAAAGCGGGGTAGGATAATTGTAGGATTAAGAATTCGAAGCTCTGACCTTTCGATTGAGATTATAATTGTTTTAGCTAATGAAGTTACGTTGATGAACCATTACTCCTTGAGAACTTTTTTTGTGCAAAGTTTAATCCATAACTACTAATGTTTGTCGTTCGGGCTCAATCCGATGGTAATTAATAGTTGAGATTGATCCTACCAAGAATATTTAGTTTTTTTTTTGCTTTTTTTTTAAAAAAAATTTTAAAGTCAACGTAAAATTAGTATTAAATCATTTGGTCATTAAATGTTGACTTTTCAAACGCTTGCCTTTCAAGGAAAAAAAAGAACGGTGGAATGGTAGATTCTAGAAAGTCGTAGACAATTCCAATGGTCCAGTCGACTTTTCCAATAATAAATGCGCTTCCAAGTTCTACCGAACAAATTGTTCTCACGTTTTGCGTTTTCTAGCCAAGACATCGCCTCTCTTCCGCGATCTTGCTTCTCAGGTTCGTCTTTCTCTCGCTTTTCGATCAATTTTGTTCTTTTTTTTTTTTTAGCATTTCATCGTTTGATTGGGAATATTTTTGGTCGGTCTTTCACAATTGTTTCTAATTTTCCCTTCGTTTGGGATTTTTGGAGTATGAATCGGAATCGGATTTTTTTCGGCCATGGAATTCTCTAGAACGCATAATTATTCAATGGATCACAATGCAGATCTTTTCTTGTATTTGCCCTATATTTTGAATTGGAAGAAGCATATGACGTTAACGATAATTTTGAGTTTCCGGTTCTCTTGATAATGTTGGGAGAAATATGTCTTGATGCGTTGGTGATTTGCTTGGCTCTGTTGTTCTATGATTTGCGTAGGTTATCTGTCTCTTATTCCTGCTCATTTTGCTTCCTTGAGCAATTGAAGATAATAAGAATTAACTGTTGATTAAACGCTGGAGTTATGGCTGAGGTAATGAAGACTAACGCCTTTAATTCATTTCAATTTGTGGCTTGTGTTGTTTGGAAGCTTATTATGGGTCTATTTCAGGAGGGTCAGAAAGTCACTTTGAATGTTTATGACTTGAGCCAAGGTCTAGCGCGGCAGCTGTCCACTGCATTCCTTGGGAGACCCATCGAGGCCATATGGTAAGTCATTACGCCATGTTCATTAGAAAGGGATAGCCTGATATCTTGAATGCTAATAATGGTTTGATAAGCATCTGGTTTTTGGCTTTTATGTTCTTTGTTTTGTTAGCTAGTCAAATTTAAAGAACTAAATAGTAGTTCATACACACTTGTTTTTGAGATTTGGCTAAGAATTCGAACTTTTCTTCGAGAAAGGTTGAGTCCATAAAGAACTCGCAAGGGAACAAACAATTTTTTTTTATGATATTCGTGAGTTTGTGAGCTAGTTTGTGCCAATACCGACTATTTTCATAAGACAATTACCTGATCCCATTACGTTTAGTTGCCGGAAAGAAGCACGATTTTCAACTTTGCTTCTTGAAACCTTCACGTTTTCAATCTTTTTTTATAATATCTGTGCGTTTCTGAGCTAGCTTGCATGAATCTCGACTATTCTTATAAGACCACTGCCTGATCCCATTACATTTAGTTGCCGGAAACAAGCACAATTTTCAACTTCGCTTCTTGGAACCTTCACGTTTTTGTGCAGTGCTTGAAGTTCTGGATTGGCAACTAGTTTCTTTGAAAAACTTAGACTTTGTTGAGTTGTCTATGGTTGGTTCCATTGAACTTTCTACTAATGCATGCTAGTAAACATAGTTTAGGCCCTGGCACTTTATTTCTTCATGATCTTCATTTGATAATTGATAGAAACTCAGGTAGAAAATTATTTCCTATTCTTTTGGTTCAAGAGAGTTCTGTTCTTATTGGGTCCAATTTCCAATTTCTTTTTGGTGTGGCAGGCACACAGGAGTTGTTGTGTATGGCAATGAATATTATTTTGGTGGAGGTATTCAACATGATCCTGCTGGAAGAACCCCATATGGAAAACCGATTCGGACGATAGATTTAGGAACGACCCATGTTCCGAAGGACATTTTTGAGACGTACTTGCAGGAAATTAGTCCTCGGTACACAGCTGAAACCTATAGTCTACTCTCACACAACTGCAACAACTTCAGTAATGAAGTTGCACAATTTTTAGTTGGTGCTACTATTCCTGATTACATTCTTGACCTCCCCAACATAGTTATGAGTAGTCCCATGGGCGCCCTCATATGTAAGTAATTTTAAGTAACCATGCTTCGATCTCTTATTCGTGTTTGTGTTCGCTTAACAAATATCATTTCTCGTCCAGTGCCTATGATTCAGAACCTGGAAAATACATTGAAGGCAGGCGCAGTTCCAATGGCCCCGCAGTTTAATCCTACTTCAGTAGGTCGGTCAGTTCCAACAGCTAATGTCCCTAGATCATCACCGTCGGGGTCGGGGTCGGGGTCAAATAACACTAGATCATCATCTGATGCCAAGCCAATTGAGAAGACAATGGCTGCAGGGCCACAGAAGTCAAAAGCAAATGGAACTGCTGATCCACTTGGGGATGCTCGTAGCAAGGTGCAGGAAGAAATTGGGCGAGAATTTGCAGCGATCATGGCAACTGGGACTCTGCGTGCGAGCGAAGCGGCAGCATTGGCAACAAAAAGAGTGATGCAGAAGTATGGACATGCTGCGGCCTTGTCACAGGGCTAGCTAGCTAAGCTAGTGCACATTTTCATTCATTTTCAATTGAAACGTTTACGGATAAGAGGTGTATTACTTGTGTGGGTTTTAAGATGACCCAACACCATTCAAAACCATACGAGAATCCATGTCATTCTGTTACTGGTAGTTGTAAAACAAACTTTCTTAGTCTGATACCAGTTTCTGGAGATAAAGATTTAGATCATTTCGATAATAATTCCATTTTTAGTTTTCTATGTTAGAAAAAACTAAATAAATAAAATTGTTAAACGATTTTGGTGCCTAAAGGAAAATAATTATCTAAGTAATGCTATTAAGATTAAAATTTTAAATTTCATATGATTATTTAATTTTTTAGAAATAAAATTTATGGATGATTTTTTTACACGTGAGTTTCTTGTTTTTTCCCAAAATAATAATAATAATAAATAAACATAATTTTTAGTACTTATTATTTTTTTTTTTAAATTTTGTATTTTCTTAGAATCGAGAGTTTCACATGTTCATCACTTTGTTCATTTTTTAAAAATAAAACACTTTGTCCATTTTAACTATATGTCATATTGAATTTAAAAAAGTTGGCATTTCCATTATATTATAAAAAAATTAATAGTATATAACAAAAATGTTAACCATAATTTTTTATTATTTAAAAAGATAAAATTAAATATTTTTTTAATGAATTTGATATATTTATAATATTCTAAAAATACCATGGGCGTAGCATATTTCCATAAAAATACACACCTTGATGTATATATATTTTGTTGTTTATCTTAATTTAAAAAATAAAATCTTAATTATGATATTATTATTAATTAATAATTGTCGTTAGCATAACTATAGGGCGTTGGCTTCACATCTCATCATCTTAAAAAATGGTAACGAAGGATGGACAATTGTTTTGATTTTTGATTTTTGATTTTGATTTTGATTTTGATTTTTGATTTTGGTTGGTAATCGAACAGTGCAATTGCAGCCTGCTATTTGATTCTATTCCGTGAATCACAAATCCCCCATTTTCATGTTTCTATCTGTTCGCCGCCCTATCTTTTCTCTCCTCCGATTTTTTCCCCAGTTTTTCAGAAGATTCGTCTCTCTCCCCTTCTCCAGAAGCTTGTCAATGGCTGATTCTAAGATGCTTGACGATGTGGACTCCGACGACATTCCTCACGCTTTTCTCTGCTGTGTCTGCTTGTGAGTTCTATTCCTCTATCTCTCTGTAAATATCTCTTTCTGTCTTTTGTTTTAGGGGGATTTAAATATGTTGGAATCATTTCTGATTGCTATTGTTTAATACTTGTTGCTTTATTTCAATTTGTTTGGCATGGAGTTTCCTATTCTAAGGATTAGGAATTTTGTTTTTGTTCTATCGGTGCTTCATGTTTGCAGATATGCATGTGCGTGCCCTGCATTGTTGAGATGTTCTATAGATGAGATTAGGAATTAGAATAATCAGTTATTGTCAATGGCGTCCCGAAATTTGCCCTAGTTTTTTTGTGATTTGAATTGGTAGTCGTTTTTAATGGCTGGAGGACTGAACTTGGCCAATGTAAATGGTAAAGAACGGATTTCCGGTGAGATAGCCTCATCCCGCCATCTTACTGCCTTGCGTATTTCAGAACCTTCGTGGAGCTAATGATTGGCTATTTATTGTTTTGGGTTGTCTGGGACCCGCTATAAACCCATATGTCATGGTTAAGATATATAGTTACATGGTTAAGATATATAGTTCCTGAAGGTTTTCATACTAAGGCTATTCTTCTCTATAAAATCATGCATACAAAAAACTTCCAGTTTGGGAAGCCTTTCCTCCTTTGGCCCAAAAGCCACCTAGGTGGGTTGATATCTTACATAATTGGACGAAATGTACTAGTCGTTAACTTTTCATTTTTATGCATTTTGTCTAGAGTGTCAATAGTGAGGAAGACGAGAGATTACCAACCCTCTTTAATAGGTTGAGAGCTCTTCTAGTCCCTTAGGCCAAGCCCAGCAAAGATTGAACCAACCCAAAAAGTATTTTCAATTTTTTGGCCAAGCCTAGAAAAGATTGAAGCATATAAACAATCTATCCCAACAAGAAGCAAACGGGCAAAGGAAAGAAAGATGCAGTCTATCCTTTGTTGTTACTACTATTTGTTTTTATAAGTTCCTTCTCACATGTGGCTGATTTAAGTTGGTTGTGAATTGCAGGGATCTTCTCTACAAGCCAATAGTTCTCTGTGAGTATAATTAAATGCTTACCATAATTTTCCTTTTTTGAGAGTTGCCATCTGTTTGTTGATTTTTGGTTTCTTCTATTTCAGCTTGTGGTCATATTTCATGTTTTTGGTGTGTGCACAAATCCATGAATGGTTTTCGTGAGTCCCACTGTCCAATTTGTAGGCGTCCATATTATCACTTTCCAACCATCTGTGAGATGCTTCACCTATTGATCCTGAAGATGTATCCTATGGCGTACAAGAGAAGGCAAAATCAAACACTAGGTGCGCTTTCTATTTTCTGCTGTTATCACTGTGTAATAATATCTTCAATAGCTGCAATCATGGCTGTTAAAAACAAACATCTCATGGAGATGTATATCATACGAGGTGAGGTGAAATGGTTTTAGCAGTGCACAAATGAATCATAATTTTCAACGATGCTCTGTTCACTCAATGGAAAACGTGAATTAATGTGGACTCAAATGATTGATCTAGTTTATTGGTAGATGGAAACAAAGGCATAAATCTAACAAGCTGATGAGGTAGGGAGTGAAATTAGTTAATAGTCGTGTAACCTGCATAAATCATCAGAGTGCAGCAACAAAATGAGATAGGGAGTGAAGTTAGTGAACGTGAAGAAATTATAAAGAAAATGAAGAAGCATTGACCTGATGTTTGATCCAGTTTTGCCGTTACTTTTTGAAGAAGAAGAAGAATATAACACAGTGGATGAAAATAAAAATAAACACAAAGCAGTCATGTCAAAACAATAATATTTGCCATCTTGACCAGACGGAAGTGAATAAAATGAATGTACAAGATTTAAAATGCGTAATTCTTTAGTTAATGTACCTACTCTTCTATATTTCTCTCGATAAAATTACTTTTTCTTGATGAAACTGCTAGTGTCCCCAAGTCATATTACTTGATTAATTTAATAATTTATACTATATATCTTATCTTCCCTCTTTCATATTTTTTTTTATCAATGATTATTGTTGCAAGTCTAAATCATCTTGCTACTTTTCATATTAGTTTTTAGAGAGGTCCATGTGCATTTTTTAATATAAAAAGACCAACTAAATTCCTAGATACTAGGTAACAATAAAACTAAATAAATCATTCGATACTGGGTAACAATACAAATAAATTAGGGAGGTCATTCCTTCGACACTCCCCTAAAGCTGAGGAATAGTTATCATCCATTCTCAGCTTGAAAACTAATTCATGAAACATTGAGTTGTGAACCCTGTATGTAGTATACATGTTGGTTGAAGCTATGAGGGCACATTAGTAATGCATACTATCCTCTTCTCAAATTTCTCCTTGATAAAATATCAATCAATTTCAATATGTTTTGTCCCATTATGCTAGATAGGATTATGTGCAATATTTATAATTTATTTGTTGTGTACAACTTTAGTGGTCCTTCTCCCTTAATCTTTTAAGTCATCAAGGATCATCTTCAACTATAAGAGTTCACATAGCTCTTCTGCAATAATTCAGAATTCTGATTAGGCAGATGATCTAGCTACCACATTTTGCTTTTTACTTTTCCATGTTGCCAAATTACTTATAAGAAAAGTATAATACCCTTCTTCTATTCACCACTGGTCTAGCATAGTCAGCATCGATGTTTGCTTCCAATGTAAGAGAATTGTTCTGTTTGAACAAAATTCTTTTTCCTGAAGTTCTTTTCAGGTAACATAATACTCAATTGTCTGAAGGTGAGAATCTCACAGATCATGTATGAATTGGATAATTACACTCATTGAGTATGCTATGTTTGGTTGAATATGAGCTAGATATATAAACCTCCGGTACATTTTTCTGTTCGCCATAGGCTCTTCTTTTGACTCTCCCAATTTTTTATGTGATCCATTGGTGTTGATCACATATTTCTATTGTGATATGAAAATACCTTGAGCTGAAATTACCTTAGCCTTCCAAGTTCTTTGATCTCAAATTCTTTCATCAATTTCCTTCTTCATTGTATCTAGTGACTAGATGTCGTTTACATACACTAGAAGCACTGTAACTCTCCTTGATTAATGCTTGATAAAGAGAGAGTGGTTTCCTTGACTTTTTGCTTGTACCCACAGTCTTTCATTATCTTTGTGAATCTTCCAAACCACGTCGTTGGTGAATGTTTTAGTCTATGCAAGGCCTTCCTCAATTTGCATACTTACGTCTTGAACTTTCAAATCCCGGAGGAATATCCTCATCTAGATCGTTGTGAAGAAATGCTTCTTCATATCATACTATGAGAGCTGTCAATTTAAGTTGGTAGCCAATGGTGTTCATCTTTGAACTGAGGCAAATGTCTCTTGGTAACATATACCGTAAGTTTGAGTGTATCCCTTAGCTACTAACATTGTCTTATACCTTTCCGACGTTCCATCAACCTTTTACTTTACTGTAAAAAGGCAACTACCCAACCTTTTATCTTTTGGCCTATCTACAAGTTACCACATGTTAATTCTTTTCTAGAGCATGTATTTCTTCTCTTATAGCATCCGGTCATTCTCTTTTGGATAAACCTTTAGAAACAGTGTTAGGTATGACAATTGCATTTAGACTCACAATGAAACTCTTGTATGATGGGAATAGTCTTTCAAGAAAGATATAGTTTGATAGGGGGTATAAGGGCCATTTTTGTGCATTCTCTAGTAGGTTTTAGGAGAGTTATGAGTCTATCATCTATTGATACTTGTGTTACATTTTCATTTTGTGTCGAGCTGAATGTTTGGACTTATATCGGTTCTGAAATGATTTTTTCTTCTAGCATATACCTGAGAGACAATGGATCTGGCAATGGAGGTGGAATGTATAATTCAGTTGCTAACTCCATGGTAGTAGGGGCAGACTCATGATTAGAGTGTGTCAAAGGGTTCATTAGTTTTCCAAGGAGTTAAGAATTGGTTCTATAATTGGTTCTATGTGCTGGTTATTTAGTGTGTCAAGGGGTTCATTAGTTTTCCAAGGATCCTCTTCAATCTCTATGTTCTTTCCCTAAAGAGAGGCCTTAGAGAAGAACGGTTTGTGCTCGGTGAATTTCACATCAATTGAAGTGTAAGACTTCCTACATGTTGGGTTGTAACATTTGTACCCCTGTGTGGTTGAAGAATATCCTAAAAAGACACATTTTATTACTCTTGAATCAAGTTTATCTCCTTGAGTGTTGTGAACATGAACAAAGGCGGTGCACCCAAATACTTGGAGTGTGAGGCCATTTGATGTTCGAAAGTGAGGATGAAATTGGTTGAGGATTTCTATTGAGCTTAGATTATTCAGGGCTTGAGATGAAAGATGATTAATCATGTGAGTTGCAGTAGGAGATGTCTCTCTCTAGTAAGTTTTTGGCATGTTTCTATGAAAAACAATGCTCGGGTAATGTGTAAAAGGAGTCCAATTTTCCTTTCAGCCACTCCATTTTGTTGTGGTGTGTTAACACATAAAGAATCATGGATAATGCCTTGAGATAAAAGAATATAGGGATAAGATTTGATTGAGGTAATTTCTAGCATTGTATGTCTAAATGTTTTGATTTTGACTCCAAATTGTGTCTGAATCATTGAGTGAAAGGTAGGAATAATATTACTAAGGCTGTCATGGGTAAGCTTTTGTATGGATAGGAAACTATTAGAAAGTTTTGGGATGTGTAGGATGTTTTTTAGTGTAAGGGTTTGAAAATAAATACCTTGCCTATTTTTGCAACGGGGGCATTGGTTCTATTTGCCTATATAATTTTTCGACTACTCAAGAATGATTTATATGTTTTAGTCATGATCAATTGCACAAAAGTCTATAATCCAAGAGCTAACCTAACTTATCTCTGAAGGGTTTATACAAAAAGTGAATGAAAACTTACTTAAGATTGTCAATGCACTAGAACGTGATGGTTTGTCGAGAGGTGTCCAAGAACACTTTCAATCTCTCAATCTCTTCATTATTGAATCCACTAGTCTCCACAATTGGTGGTTTTGTTTTTGATTTGGACTCCTCTACCATGTGTGCTTGTGCCTTCGACATTTCTCCCTTGTTTCCTTGATTTTGTGAGCTTCTCCGATTTCTCCATTCACAACTGGGAGGCATTTCGTTCAACTTCTGATGACTCTTCTTCGTGTGTCGCAGTTTTTTGCAACAAAGTACACCATAAATTGTCTTTGTTACTCTCCATTGGTTTTCTTTTCTGTTGTTTCTATCTTTCTCTACAGCAAAGGCCGATGCCATATAAAATTGGATTGTTTGTCAAGCATAAGGCTCCATCAGCTCTCTTATGTTTGAATAAGGGAAATTGTTTCTTTTAGGGAGGATGTTTTCTCTCTTTTGATGATTTGTAGACATACTTGGTCGAACTCGTTGTTGAGACCTGGTAAGAAATCATAGACACGATCTGCTTTCAATAAATTTCTTCAGAATTAAGTAGAGACCTGGTAAAAACTCATAGACACGATCTGTTTCGATAAATTTCTTCAGAATTAAGATATATGTAGTACAGCTCATCTCGAATATCCTATAATAATTGAGTTCTGGCCACAATGTTTGTGGACATTGACATATTCAATGACAATTTTTCCTTCTTGCTTCATGGCTTTGGTCATGATCTTCATTCATAGATTTGAGCAGCATCTCTATCCATGGCGTAAATGCAATGAATGAAATTTCATATGGAAAAACACAAATGTAAATAAATCCCTAGATGTTAGGTATACAAATACATTTGGGAGGTCAACTACTTACCCTATTTAGTGGGATTACACAAATATCTCTTAACTTAAGGTTTTAGGAATTACACATATATTGGTCATTCCTTCAACATTTATTATGCTCCATATTGAAAAAAATAATTTAAAACACAAATGATTCATTACTTTATGTATTTGATGTTTATGCTGAAATTCAAGTGAATCTCAAATATATTATTGAATAAGTGGAACTATATTCGTGCAAATATAATTTCCTTAATGCAAATGAATAATGGTTCATTGCTGATTTTTCTATTTTTGGGCAGATATATTTTAATCTTTTAGTTCACTTCTTTACCATTCTCTTTTTACTGTTTTATTCATTTAAATAATTCCATTTTCAGAAGAGGAAAGGAAACTTGGCCTTTTCTCTCCTCAATATGATTCCCTTGCATGTGGCTCCCGAGCTGGTGAAAAGATGGAACACCTAGAAGATTCTGCTAATGGTGAGATGAATGCAAATACAAAAAATGACAACGTTGTTGCTGAATTAATTTTAGAAGAAAATTCTGAAGTTGTTCGATCTGCTTCGGTTGAAATCCTCAATTCTCTTGGAGATCTTCACGGTCAAAAGACTCAAAACCAGGAGACGGTTACAGTTGCCGATGTGCTTTGTCGAGCGTGCACCCAATTGCTCCTCCGTCCAGTGGTTCTTAACTGTGGTCATGGTATATATAATCTCTTTTCATCCGTGTGGGCCTGCATTTTTTTTTTCTATCCTCAATTATATACTAAAAGTAATATTTAAAATATCAGGGGTATTTCAAATTTAATACCATTCCTAAATTATCTTGACTTCAATGCCAGAAAGGTTGCAATATAACTTATTTTTATGTTTACAGCATTTTGTGAGAGTTGTATCAACTTGCGAGTTGAGACACTTGAGTGTCAAGTTTGCCAGTCTTTGCAACCAAGGGGATTTCCAAATGTCTGTTTGGAGCTTGATCAGTTTTTGAAGGAACAACTTCCTGAAGAATATAAGCTCCGAAGTGACTCAGTTCAGCTTAAACTAGCTGAAACTTTCAAGCATGAGAGTCCAACTTCCTGTATGTTTATTTACACTTGCTTAATTTATCAGCTTCAATATTATAGCATTTGTGATCTTAGATTAGTCCATTTGTTGTGCTTGTAGTGCGTGCTTCTCATTTCATGCTACTTCTCTTTTTTGTTTCTTCATTTCTAGTTCATGTATTTTTTGCACTTCTGTTCATGCTCAACTTGTGCGGAATGAAGGTAGTTTAGTTGTCCAAACTATATATGTGTTCTTGCTTGTAGGAAAATTGCTTTGTGAATTGTTTGAGTAGGATGCCTTATCCAATGCATGCTAGGCCTTAACATGGACTGTCGTAAGAGCTGGAATAGATAGACCATCTAAAATTTCCGGTATGTCTATATGATCATTGAAGTGATGCAATTTTCTTTATTTCAAAGTTTACCTGTCTATATGATCAGGAAAACAAAACTTTGTACACATATAGGGATAGAAAATGATGGTGTAATTTACAATTTTGTTATTCTTCAATCCTTCGGATCAGTGTAGAAATGTACTTATAATGCTTGATGGCATATTGTTGCTCTACAATATTGAAAATTACTCATCAAGGTATTCTCATTAATACAAAATTAGTCTGTATAATATCAGTTTTCTTTATTTTAAGTTTATTATTTGCTTCCAGGTTCCAGTGAAGGGGGTATGAAGGGACAGGGTCTACCAAGATGGGACGAAGTTGCTTCTAAAGTGCATCCTGCCGTTGGATGCGATTCGTGTGGGGTAATTTCCTTTTATTTTTATCATTCCTCTCATACTGTTTGAGATCTTTGTTGCTGAACTATAAAAGATATAACCAAACAACGAGTTAGAATAATATTGAAATATAAAAGATAGAAAAACTGCAATATAACTTCAAGTATTCAACGCACGTGGAACCTCCCTCTTCTTGAACACTCGCACTCGAGACTAAACTTACTAAAAACTGTCGTCGTTCATTTCATCCCACTCCATCTCATTATAACAAACTCTTTGGTTTGTAGCCGATGCTCTGATAAGAGTAACTTTATGGTATCTTATTGAGTACAAATAAGGATATTTATTCAAGAAAGAATCATTTGGTTAGTGATAGTACTCTCTTATTGTACACTGCAGATGTATCCCATCATTGGTGATAGATACAAGTGCGAGGATTGTTTCGAGGAAGTAGGTTTTGACCTCTGTGGTGAATGCTATAATACACGTTCGAAGCGTCCCGGTCGGTTCAACCAACAACATAGACCAGAGCACAAGTTTAAGCTTGTATTTCCTACAATGTTTTCAACTATGAGGTCGAGGATAGTGACAGAAATAATGTTAGAGGAAGGTTCTACAACCTTTATTATTGCTAATGATGAAGGTTCAGAAAGTTCAGAGGACATGGGCGCTATTCTCGAACTATCTAGCGATGCTCGTGAGAGCGAAGAGAACGATTCTGATGTTGATGTTAGAACTCAGACAAACTCCAATGACAGTAGAACTGATCGAAATATGTCTCGACCTACCTAAAATGTCGAAATCTATAGAAGACTCAAAGTACGGCATCGTTTCGTACAGAGTTTCCACTCTGGTTCTTGGAATGATCTCTTACTCTGGTGTCTAGATGATCTATAAACTGAAATTTCTATGTTTGTTCCCATGCCGAATAAAAAGAATAGGCGTTAAAAACTTCTCATCTTTGTACAGAATAGGCGTTAAAAGGATCCCTTATCTTCAATTTCAGCTGCTGCTTCTTGAATATGTACAGGCAGTGGACAGGCACCTGGGGCTGGTTTCTTGTTAAATAACAACACCCAACTTGTGGTATGTATGCTGCGTTCATTCATATGACATTTTCTGACCAAATTTCTATAGTTTCTGGTGTTCTTGTGTCAAGAATTGTTTCCTATTGTGATGCCCAGGTAACAAAAATATTTTCATACGTACTCGAGTTATAGACTCGAGTAATACAGCCTCCATATTTTCTTTTTAGTTCAACATGTGTGGGTAATCTCGATCGAGAGGAAATGTTTTAACGAGTTGAGCTGCTTAAATTAGTCTCATCTCGATTGGGAGGATATTTCTTACGAGTTGAGCTATGTTCAAGTATACAATTGATTATATTGTTTCATCGTTTTTCAATTTAGTTTATAAAAATGAGGTTTTTATTATTATACAAGGTTAAAATTAATGGTCATAAATATAAAATTTTATAAAGTGTAAATGTTGGCATATTAGTAAATATAATACATTAAGAGAAAGAATTGGAGGGAAAATTATGAGGAGCTTGACATTTTGTATTTTGCATAGGTTTGTGTGATGAATGACTACAAATTTTGGTACATTTTAAAGCCCTAAATTTAGCTAAAAAGGCCTATTCTTTTTTTTTTTTTTTAATTTTTTAAATATACTTCATATAATTTAATTTTAGTTTAATTGATTAAAAAATAAATCATAAATGCATTTGGTTATTTTTTAAAATTAAAATAATATTACAAATTTTAAAGAAAGAAAAATAACATGTTTTGTAAATTGAAATTTTATATGAAGAGACTAAGCGATAATTTGGATTACCAACTAAGACCCCTAAATGATCGCTCGATAGGGGTAAAATAGTAATAATATAAGCCGATTTAATATATATATATTATATATAGAAAATACATGAAAAGAGAAAACAGAAAAGAAAATTGTATATGATTGTTTTGCTTGTCCGTTTTCCCTCCCCCGCCCACTTTCTTCTTCTTCCTCTTCCCTCTTCTTTTTTCCCTTACAAATTTTCAATTCCTCTTCTTCTCTCCTCTCTCTCTCGCTCTAAAACCTCTCTCATCTTCTCATTCTCTGAAACCTCGAAGCTCTGAATCCTATGACAAAATGGGCAAGTACATGAACAAATCCAAGATCGCCGGCGATATCACAGTCATGGAGGTCTTCTCACAGCCCACCACGACCACTGTCCGCACCAGAGCCGCTTCCAAATCCCTCGCATTGCAGAAACTGCAGAAATCCTCCCTTCCAGACGCCATTCCCGACCTCTCCTTCTCCTATCTCCAGCTCCGCACCCGCCGCCTCGATAAAACCAACAGGTCCATTGGGGCTTCCGCCAAACAGACATCAAAACCTAAGAAGTCTGCTCGCAGTTCCAGTTCCTCCGTGAAAACAACCTCTAATTTGGACTGTGAGAGCCAGATTGTTGGCTTTGAATCTCAGGCTGAGAATTTGAAGTTCGAAATCTCAAGAAGGTACATTTCTGTTCTGCTGCTTCAATCGTGATTCTGAAATTAGTTTAGTGGATTAGTTTTTTTTTTTCGTTAGTATTTGTTTTTTTTTAAAAAAAAAAAATTGGCTAAGATTTCAAAAGTCTTTTGAAGAAGTAAAATATACTAAAGAAAACACATATATATGTATATGCAGATACAGTAGTGTTCAAAACATGCCCTAAAACTTTTGAACTTTCTTCTTCATAAACTTAGGCCTCTCTTTTACCTTCTAGCGGTTCGTGGATTATTTATATTCTTTCACATAATTTAATCTTACATGTATCCAAACATTGGAAATTCTTCCTGTTTATTGATTTTGAATTCTGTTCTTGCTGGGATCAATACTTTAATATGTTTGGGCTGTAGAGCTACCAATTGCATTTATTTTTTGCCATACGTTATTCAAAATTTTCTCTGCCGTAATTTTTGCTTTAAATTGGTTTATTGTCCTTTTGCATATGGAAGCTTCAAAAAATTTGGTAAACCACTCTGTTGCTTTGCAGTTCCTTGCCGAAAGATGTTTTGTTTTTAGTTTACATAAATTTAAATTGTCTTTGATTACTCATTCAAATTATGATAGATTTGGTATGTTCTGTGTATCATCGTTTTCAGAAATAGAAAACCAGAAACAAAAACTTTGTCAGTTGTCAATTGGGTCTTTAATATTTTGCTTGATTTTGTTGTCCACAGTGCTAGGGAGAATTTAATTATCATTTGAGTCTTTTCCTCCTCCAATATTATAATACTTTAGCCAATATAAACTAAACTATTAAGGTACCTACTCCTTTATTTAACGTCAAAGGTTCAAATATTCCCATTTCTAACTATTTTGTACTACAATTACAAAGAAAGTTCTAATTATGTATTTGCCACCATAGATTCGGAGAAACAAAAACATATTAATAGATAAGAACATAATACAGCCAATTTCCAAAAAAAAAAAAAAAAAAAAAANAAGAACATAATACAGCCAATTTCAAAAAAAAAAAAAAAAAAAAAAGAGAGTAAAATAGCTTGATACCTTAAATCGATCAAGACATCATAATTTAGATAAATCATCTTACCTATTTTTCCTGAACCCTTCTTTTTTCCTTTCTTTATCATGATATTAGTTGAAAAGAGATTCAATTTAGAAGTTTTATGATATTGTGTTATTAGAAACAATTATGTGGTATTCAGAAAATCCATAAAGTCAATGACGTTATATTCATTTGCAATGACATATCATTTTCACGGGGCCTAGATATGTCCCAGAACATGTATCATGGGATGCCTCTGTGTTGATGATGCTTTCTCTAGCTAACAAGCAGTTATTACAACTTTTTCTTTTGGTATTCTGCTGCTGCCAGTTGACACTGATTTTGTCCTATTAGATTCATTGCTTCTTTGCCACTAACTTTATGTGTTTTTTTTTTTTACTCTGTATATCTAAGAGCTAGCATAAATGTGGAATGTATATACAGGCCCCTTGGTGATAATTTTAATTTCGGTTTTTCTTTTTCTTTTATTTACTACTGTTTTAGCTTTTAAAAAAAGTAAGATTATTTATTGTAGTTGTTTATTTTATTTTTGTTTGAGTATTAAATTACCAAGTTAGTCTCTTTTGTTTGTGTGAATCTCAGTCCTTTCAATTTGGTCTTATGATTTGGTTAAATCTCTCAAAAGCCTTATAGCATTACTACAAAAAAAACAATGTTTTGATAGTAATAGTCATGGGCATTTTTGAAAGACACCTAAATTTTATGGACCAAATTAAAAGTTTTAAAGCTAGAGAGATCAAATTGAAATCAAACAGAAACAATAATTCTACCTTTTATGTTTTACTTCGAAAAAAATGTGGCTAGAATTTTAACAATGTTTTCCAAAAGTAAATTTGAGTCAAATGGATCACAAGCATAGATGGTTATTATTTAAGAACAAAAAACTAAGATCAAAATCCTTATGAACACGGGCCTTCATTGTTTGTGGATTTAAAATGATATTCAATTCCTTTGTCTGTACAGGGGTGCAAGTGAAAGCACGGCGGACAACCTGCAAAGAACCATCACACCAGCACAAGAGATTGAAGAGTTCTTTGCCTCCGCAGAGCACCAGCAACGGAGATCATTTATTGACAAGTATTTATTCTGCTCAAAATACTTCCTCTACAACCATTAAAGTTTTTGACTTAAACATTATCTAAAACTGAGATGGTCTTCCCTGTTTAGTGTTACTATTGAGAATACGATAGATGCGAGCAGAGTGGAAGCATTTGATGGTTGTGGAAAACTTTCTTACAAGCCCCCCCTGAATGATTGTGTATAGGTACAATTATGATATTGTAAACGACAAGCCTCTCGATGGACGATACGAATGGGTGGAACTGGTGCCTTGAGCTTCTCGAGAAAGGCGGGAGGCCATTGCCAAGGAAGTGGTGGGAAGAGGGAAGAGGGAAGAGGGAAGATTGAAGACAGCTCCAGCTGGGAAGAGGTATGATGATACTACCAAACTATCTGTTGTGTGTGTGGAGAGAGGCTGGAAATTTTGCAGAGATGAGTATGAAAAAGGCAGTGTCCTTTGTGGAAAAAGTAGGACTGAACACAAAGGGTGGGGGGGTCCTTGGGAAGGGCACACTGCTCACCTGCTATCTATAGGGTCCCATGGGGTCTGTTCTCAGCTCTGCCTTTTTAACTTTCCTCTTTTGCCTGTTTTTTTTTTTTTTCAAAAGAAAAAAAAGAGCCTGAGATGTTGCGTGTTGATTGCATAGGATGCCAGTCTGAAGTAGTTCCTTTTTTTATCTCATCTATCTTTCAACAACATTTCGTTTTCAGATGTAATGTTTATCTTTCACATTTTCCCCCTCTTCTCTCTCTCATCATACTCTCTCTTTTAACTCACTCTCTCCTCTCATTCTATCAACATGTTTTTAGGAACTACGATCCTCTACGATGATATTATATTGTTCACTTTGAGCATAAGTTCTTGTGACGATGATATTATATCGTCCACTTTGAGTGTAAGCTTTTGTGGCTTTCTTTTTTGTTTCCCAAAATATTTTGTACGTGGGACTCTAATTTAAGATATATCTTGGGGTTTTTATTTATCTTTTTAATTTTTAAAGCAAAAATTAGGCATTAAAATTTAATAAGTAGCAGAGAAAAAATATATATATTTTTTTAAATGCCATGTTAGGCTGAAAAATTGCTAAAAAATTATAGAGGAGAAAAAGTTTTTTCTCTTTCTAATTAAAAGCACTTTTAAAAGAGCATTTAATTAATTTTCTTTCTAAAAGCACTTATTTAAAAAAACATATTTTTGGCAACCATTTATTTAATTAAAGGTGTTACTTGCTTTAATATACTCCAATTATAATTAAAAAAAGTATAAATAAATAAATATATGTATGAAAATAAAGTAAAGAATTTAAAAGGAGAAAAAAGAAAAATGAAAGCAAATAATGTAATAAAAGTGTGAAATTAGTAAAGTGGCAATGATGGAGATATGAATGAGCATTGAATTGAATGGACAGTACATTGGTAGACCACATAATTGGATTCTCCATCTTTGCCTTTCTACTTCCCCTTTCTCCACAATTGTAATAAAAGTGTTTTTTTCTTTATTTATTTAATATTACTTATATTATATATATTTTAGTTATTTGTCTGATTGGGCCTGGAAATAATATGGGCTTTTCTGAGTCCCAAGGCCCAAATTTTAAAATGGGAACAGCGCTGTGTTATTATATTAATAATTAACAACTTTATAAAAATTAAATCTTTTAATAATACTTAAATAATTGGAAAATATTGTATAATACAGGATGAAATCAAAACAGAATAGACCAAATTGAAAAAAAAAAAAAAAAAAAAAANAGAATAGACCAAATTAAAAAAAAAAAAAAAAAAAAAAGTAATAAAGTATATATTTCAAATTAGTCCCTCAATTTTTAGTAATCACATTTTAATTTATTTTTTTTTTTAATTGTATCTCCAAAATTTGAACTAATTCCATCAAGGAAATTTTGGTGGGCTCAGCTTTATAAAGCAACAAACTTCAATTCATTTCCCTCTACTCGTTTGGCCAGAAAAGCCAAAAACATATGGAGGAGGAAAACCGACGTATCCCAAAATTGGAAAAAATGAGTCCCCTTTCATCTCAAACCGAATCTCAGATTTCTCCTGAATCCGCCATTGGAGGGGACCCAGAACCTCAAATCTTCCATTACGAGCCTGATTTCAGTTCTGAAGACGATCATGACGGGTCCGTTGTTCTGACGGACTGGAACAACACGAAGAAAAAGAACAAGAAGAAGAACCAGATCTTGCTTGAGGGCTTTGTGGAGGCTTCAGATGATGAAAATTTGACGAGGACGAAGAGTTTGACGGATGACGATCTCGAGGAGCTCAAGGGGTGTGTGGATCTAGGGTTTGCGTTTTGCTATGACGAGATTCCTGAGCTCTGTAACACCTTGCCGGCGCTCGAGCTCTGTTATTCGATGAGCCAGAAGTTTATGGACGACCACCAGAAGGTTCCGGAACATTCTCCGCCCGAGTCGGTGGATTCGGGGTCCAGTCCGATTCCGAATTGGAAGATCTCTAGTCCTGGTGAGCGATTCGATTCGATTCCTAATCTCGGTATTGATTTGAAAAATTGGAAGAGTTTAGAAGGAAAGTTGGTGTTTATGCATGGAAATTTGAAAAGAAATTCTCTCTGTGTGTGCTTTACTGTTATTTTTTGAATTTCTAGTCTTCCGCTCATATTTTGAATTGTTGGTTTAGGTTGAATATGAGTAAGTTTGTTTATATTGGGTTTTGAAATTGTTCTCTGTTCAGGTGATCATCCAGAAGATGTTAAAGCGAGGCTCAAATATTGGGCGCAAGCGGTGGCTTGTACTGTTAGATTATGCAACTAAATGAGCCTGCAAAATTGAGAGACTGTTGTGAATGGAGATTTTTCTAGATTGTTAAAGAAGATGGCATGGATCTTCTACTTGAGTTCGTGCTTTGCAATCATAAAATTTTCCATTTGTGGGCAGAGATGATTTATTCTGAAACTGTCTTTGTTTGGTCTGATTTTGATGATGGATGAAGAAAGAAGAAGAAGAAGAAGAACGTCTCAGGTTTTAGATCAGCCAATGATTCATTGGACTTAAGAGTCTAATTCAATTCTTTAAGGTCAAGATATTAATAAATTGTAATAAGTAGAACATTGAGAAAGCATTATATTTCTTTCAAATTTTGGTTGCCTGTCTCTGATTATGTTTGCTGCTCTGTTAATTTGATGATTTTGCGATTCCAATCTTAGTTAGTTGAGTGGCTTTTATGCAGTGGTGGGAGCCCCATCAAAGCTTCACCAACAGCCTTTTGCTTCACACCTCTGCACATGCTGCTGAGGTACCTAACCTAACTGTAAAACAAAATACCATAATGGTTCTTTTGATGTTCCATTTTTTTGGTCTTGTTTCATATTTTTCTGACTTCCCGAGTGCTAACCAATGCCAGATATTGTGCTAACTATTTCTGTACAGCCCACAAATATGGCTGGATGAATACGGGTTTGCTCGATGTCGCTGGGAGAGGTGTGGGAGAACTGCCTACTTTATCTGGGTTTATGATTGTTTTGCATCTTGAACTTGGAGGCATTTTCTAGCTTTGTATCATGAATGAAAGTTTCTTGTTCATTTAGTTCGTTCTTCCCGACTGCTAACTATTTCTTTCGATCCACACGCATGTCTGGATGAGTACCCATTTGCCTTGCCAGATGTAGTTGGATGGATGACTGCCTTGTCTTGAATTTATTATTGGTTTGCATCTTGAATTTGGAGGTGTTCTCTTGTTCGTGATTGAGATGATCATTTGTTGTAAATTGTAGTACATGACTGGCAACTATCAATCGATCGTTTTTACTTTTGTTCCTTTCGTTCGTTCAGTTCTTACTTTTGTTCCTTTCGTTCGTTCAGTTCTTACTTTTGTGGCTTACCGAGTGCTAACTATGGCTGGATGAATGGCTGGATGAATGAATACCTATTTGTCCCATGATGTTGGGATTGATGGGGGGGAAAACTGCCTATTTCATCTCTACATCAAATGAATTCCATCTTGAACTTGAAGATGCTTTCTGGTTTTGTATGCTGACTGATGGTTTCTTATAATGACTTGACTGGAAAACGATCAATCGATCGGTTGTTTTTAACTTCTTCCCTCGGTTTGTTCTTATCTCTGGTTTATGGAAAGAGCAACAGATTCTTTCAAACGTGTCCAATGTCTTTTAGGTTCTATCATGTGATACAGGGAAATAGAGAACTGCACAGCGGACAATAAAGATGATGAACACTACCACACATCCCAAGTGAGGCGAGGCTTTTTGTAGGCCATGTATGAGATTGAGGGGAACAAAGCTGAAAGAAACGGTTCATTTATGCAATCCTTGCTGTGTGATAGTACTAAAAGCTTATTCTTGTCGCGTTTTTTAAGACGATTATCTTTCAGTTTCGGGAGCTAGCTTGAATGTCCACCTTTGAACACGTTCGTTTAATCATTGATTTATTAGAATATGTTGTAATTTTATTGTCGTTCAAATGGTCTACTTTCTGCTCGTTCTACTCACAGCTTTCAAAAGTTTGTTCCATATAAATGTTTGAAAGTGTTTAGATTGAATGAAGTGAGTGATGTGGTGTTCTTTCTGTGGAGGGAATAAGGGAATAATTCTTTGGATTATTCCTTTTTGAGGATGATAATTCATTATTCTTATTTTGAATGGGAAAGGACAAAAAAGTGCAACCATATTAATAAAATGTCATTCTTATTTGAGTCCTATGCGATGGCACAACCGCCCCCTTAGTGTCATATTTGGTCTGCATCATCGATCTTGAGAGATTAAATGTTCGAATCAAACATTATTTGACAAAAGAATAATAAAAAAATAATTAAATGGGAAGCCCAATTACACCCAAAAATATGAAAATTCATTGGGGTGAGAGAGGCTCGAACTCTCGACCTCAGGATAACTCAGAAGCTATGAGACCTACGCGCTAGCCAACTGCGCCACCACCCCTTGATGGGATGTGGGCATGTTTGTAATTGATATGTATTATTTTTTGCAATCAAAATAATAATTGAAAGAAAGCTTCTAGCTTGTGAAAATCATATTCATCTATAATTAAATTTTTAAAATTTTAATTTACAAGATATTCCCTTCTAAATAATCTATAAATTTCCTTTTTTTAAGTTATTTGCATTAAGAAGGTAATGAATTATAAGTTTAGTGACCCAAAATTAATTAATTAGTTAATTAAAATTTATAATCAATTACTAATCAATAAATATACCACTAACTTAAGTAACTTAAGAGGACAATATATGAAATTAATAAAATGTTAAAATACAAGAATTAAATTGAAACTTTTTGATGAGTACGGACTAAATTTTTGTGAAAAATAATAAAATACATATTTTTGAAGAAAAAAGAAAAAGTAAATTTAAGTGATGAAAAAAGGAAAAGGAAGTCAAGAACAGGGGCCTATTCCTTGTACGCTTCCTTGGAAGAGTAAACATGGTGTTTCCTCTGCTTAGAATTTGAAGTTTCAGAACCTTAGGGCCAAGTCCACACCTTTCCGGAGCCCCTGGAGCTTGAACAACCGTCGACGATGGCCTCCGCCGCCATCGGAACTTCACGCCCTTTCACTGTCTTGCTCTTTGTGATCATCAACTTACTTTCCAGCACCATCCTCGGCGGAGGCGGCGGCGTCGCCGTCGGCGTCTATGCTGATAATGGCGTGTTCAGCGTCAAATACAAGTATGCCGGACGGGAACGTTCTCTTAGTACTCTTAAGGCGCACGACATCAACCGTCAGCTTCGATTTCTTGCCGGCGTCGATATTCCCCTCGGTGGCTCTGGCCGGCCTGATGCCGTCGGGTAAGTGGAATCGTTTTTGTAATTTTTTTTCGGTGTTGTATGCGTCGATCGTGTTGTGGTTTTAATTGAAGGGTTCACTTTGTTTTCAGACTTTACTATGCCAAAATTGGAATCGGGACTCCTCCCAAGAACTATTATGTTCAAGTGGATACAGGGAGTGACATTGTGTGGGTGAATTGTATTCAGTGTAAGGAGTGTCCGAGGAGAAGCTCTCTGGGGGTATTGTTTTAGTAAATGTCTTGTTATTTTTAGCATGTTGTTTTTACTCTCGATTGATGTTGCGAAGGGGTTAATTGGAGTGTTTTTCCTTTGGCATCAGATGGAACTCACTACGTATGATTTGGAGCAATCCACTACTGGAAAATTGGTTTCTTGTGATGAACAATTTTGCTTGGAGGTGAATGGGGGTCCACTCTCAGGCTGCACTGCTAATATGTCCTGTCCATATCTTCAGATATATGGTGATGGGAGCTCGACTGCTGGAATCTTTGTCAAGGACTATGTTCAATATGATCGGGTTTCTGGAGACCTTGAGACTACAGCTGCTAATGGAAGTATCAAGTTTGGGTGAGTTGTTTTTATACTGCTTTTATATACTCTATAGTGTAGCTCCAACTCAGTTTAGGGGAGTGATGAACGAGGTAGGGAACTTATAGTCTGGAAAGATGAAGAATCTATAGAGAGACTACCATGCATCAATAACCTCTTAAATTTTGTCCCTTGCAAAACTCAAAATAATAGGAGTCTTTGCGTAAAGAAAAAATGAACTCGAGAAATGGCTGTCCAAGGGGAGTGCAAAATGTCCTTGTTTCTACAAGTTGAACTCTTGAGTATGGTATTCAAGCCGTATTACTAGGCTACCAGCAGTCAGTGGAAGGACAAAAGAGAATTTGGCACAATTTGAGATATTCACAGCCAGATGATAAGTGGAGCTTCCTTTGCCCCACCCCCACCATCCTACGTTAAGCCTCCTTATTTTGTGCAAATTAAAAATCTCCAGAAGATTCTTATCATAGTCTATGCGCAAAAGGGAAATTTTCTTATTAAGGAGACTAGAGGCAAATTTATTTTATGATGAAGGTACCCAAGTTTCACCAGTGGTGACTTGTTGCTATGGTCATTTATGTACTGGAGAAGCTAAGAATGGAACACACCTTCCGTCAGTCATTTATCTAAATCGTCCTCTAATGCATTCTTGTGCCGAAATGACTTTGCTTAATGGAAGTGCTGAGCTGGAAGGTGGAGGGTTTGGATCTGGAGGAAGAGGGCCCTTGTTGGAGACTTGGTTATTCAAGAAAGTCTTGATTTGGTTAGCCTTAAAGAAACAAAATAGCACAACGTGGACCAGAGGTTGGTCAAATTGATTTGGAGTTTCCACATTGCTTGGATGTCCTTTGAACGTTGGAGTATCAAGAGATTCATGTTGTTTTTATGGGGTGTCCCTTTTTTGAATGTTCTTGTTGCTATGGAGGGTGATTTTATCTACCTTGCAATTTTGGTTGTCTACTCTTTTGGGATTACAGGATATGGTCCTAACTCTCTACATTTTTAGGAAGGCGTGTGGAAAAGAAATTGAATACCTCTCTCATCTTCATTGGGATGCTTTCTCCGACTGCCTGTGGAGATTTTTATATGCCAAAAGAGTGATGAAAAAATATCCCAGTTCTTCATGGGAGAAGGGATTGTCATTCATGGGGCCTTAACCCTTATGAGGGCTTATCTGCCTATTCTTTCTTTAGTTGCTTGTTTAATCTTTCTCCTTATAGTGAGTCAGTGTTCTTAGCCCCATGGAAGGTGAAAATTTCAAACAAGGTTGAGTTCTTTGTTTGATAGGTCATTCACGCAAGAGTGAACAAGTTAAGATCAAATCTTGAGGAAGTTCTTGGTAGGGCCATTTGTTGTATTTTTTTGTTGGAGAGTGGAGGAAGATCTGGTCCGTATCCTTTGAAATTTTCAGTATGGTTAGGTTGGAGTTATTTTTTTGCAGCTTTTGGTTTGTAGGGTGTCAGACATAGAGAGTACAGGGAGATGATTGAGGCGTTCTTCATCCATTCACTGTTTAAGGAAAAGGGGAGACTTATGGCATGTTGGGATTGTGCGTTGTTGTGGGTTTGTGGGGGAAAAGGAACAATAGAACCTTTAGGGGAGTATGGAGGAGCTTTGTAATGTTTGGTCCTTTGCTAGGCTCAATATTTCCTTTTAACCTTGACATTGAAGGCCTTTTGCAATTATTTAAGGTCTTATTTTGCTGGAGTGAAGTTCCTTTCTTTAGCGGAATTCCCTTTTGTGGGCTTGGATTCTTGCGTCACCCTTGTATTCTTGAATTTTTTTCTCAATAAAAGTTTGGTATTTCATTAAAAAAAATGTAGGACATCGGTCAAGGATGAAATGTGTTATTTTACCAAATTTGATGTACAGTGAGAAAATTGAAATCTACGAATTCTGATTGCAATTATCAATGTCTAAGAGAAGCCAATTGCCACATTGTAGCTTTTATCAACATTGGCCTTCTGAGTTCCTGTCCTATTAATTTCTTAATCATTTCACTCAGAGCCACTTCTTTTAAACGTTTCTTATAATTATTATTTTTATTTAATTATTCCTTTTTGGTAGATGTGGTGCTAGACAATCTGGGGATTTAGGTTCGTCCGGTGAAGAAGCACTTGATGGGATACTTGGTTTCGGAAAATCAAATTCATCTATTATTTCACAACTAGCCTCTTCAAGAAAAGTGAAGAAGATGTTTGCTCATTGCCTAGACGGAATAAATGGGGGTGGTATCTTTGCGATGGGACATGTTGTGCAGCCAAAAGTTATCATGACTCCGTTGGTACCAAATCAGTATGTAATTTGCTTTTTTAGCTCTCAATTGTAGCTTTTACTTAGTTTGGTTTTCGTCTTTTTCCTATATGTAGATTTTAGTTGGTTTCTGTGGTCCTTGCATTAATTTGTTGGTTTAGTTCTGCGAGTTTTAGAAATAAAAGCTTATGCAAAATGATATTGTTTCAATGAAGCATAATAGTAGAGTTATTAAAATCTAATTTGGATATGTTATGCTATTAAAGCAAAAATTTATGCTTTATTCACCCTTTATAATTTTTTGTAATGTACTTTTTTACTACTTTCTTATTCACTTCTCTTTGGAGATTTTTATCTTTGAGCATTAGTCTTGTTTTATGTCCTTAACAAAAAGTTTTATTTTTTTGGCAAGCCCAAAACTAATTTGTACAGTGCCATTGTTTTGTTAACTTTTGTGAAGCTTGTATAGTACACGACCTCAAATTGGAATCGTCTTGACAAGTTATTTTGTGGTTATTCCACTTTCTTCATCAACTTAGATTGGAAGGTTTCTATGTAGACTTTCTAGTGGGGGAGTGACACCTTGTCCCTTTGCCCACTAGGTTGTTTGTTTCACTTTTTGTTAATGAAGTGATATCCGTTTTTTATCCAGTCAATGATAAGATGTCTTATTGTTATTTGTTTTTTGGTTGTTGAGTGCTTTCGACTACATTGAAAAATATGAACATTGATTATTTATGATTCAGAACCATAACTTTTTGCACTACTTGTGACTTCTTCTGTTGATAGCTTATTATGATTACCTTCTCTTTATTATTTATGTGATTTTTATCTTTTATTAATATCCTGTCATTAAATTTTAGGCCACATTACAATGTTAATATGACGGGAGTACAAGTTGGTCGTGTCATGTTAAATATTTCTGCTGATGTATTTGAGGCGGGAGACAGAAAAGGGACGATCATTGATAGTGGCACAACTTTGGCATATCTTCCAGAATTGATTTACGAGCCATTAGTGACCATGGTATGTGATAATTTCAGAGCTCTATCCATTTCAGAACTTTATTACAAATGTGAGATGACCATATTTGATTCTGTTGATTCTGTTCTTGTAGATACTCTCACGGCAACACAATTTGGAAGTTCAATCCATTCATGGAGAATATAAATGTTTTCAGTACTCAAGAAGGTATGGAGCATTCTGAATCTGATTACCTGTAATTTTTTTGAAGTTCTTTAGGTGAAATTCTGTCTTTTTTTTAAACAGGTCAAAACAGAAGATTTTTCTTGATTAGTGTATTATTATATAAAAAAGAAAAAACCCAAACAAAAACTTAAAGAGTGATGTTATCATTTGACCCAGAAACGAAATCAGCAAGATAGATCTCTACATCAGTGTACGAGTCATTGAATATTTAACGGGAAGGAAAGATCCTTAGATAGTTTTTTTTAGCAAATTGTCTTTATTGCTGTCTTGGTGTACATGCACCTCCTTCTTTTCCGTTTTTTTTTTTTTTTTTTTTTTTTTTTTTTTTTTTTTTGCAACTCCTTGGCTTGGACTTTTGTCTCTCTTTTGTAAATTTCAGAGATCATTGAAATTTATTTCTATTATGAAATAGGTATGCATGTGTATATAAAATATTTAGCCGAAGAACCAAGTAGGTGATCTTTTCCTATGCAACAATTCTCTTGATATGTCTGCTTATTTTTGCTGGAAAGTTTGCCTATAGCATTTTTTGCTCAGTTCTCTACTGAGAGATTTAGTTATTACGTATTGTATTTGACCTGTATATTGATGGTGCTGTGTTGCTTTATTTGGTATATTTTTCTTTGCAGTGTCGATGATGGATTTCCTCCAGTTACTTTCCATTTCGAGAATTCACTCTTGTTGAAGGTTTATCCTCATGAATATCTATTCCAACATGTAAGTATGCTGGACTTGCACTCGTGTATGTACTGACTACTAACCCTTGACCTTACTGCAAGAATAGGCGGTTTTCTATTTCTTTTTTCTTTTTTTATTTTTTGAAACAAGAAGGGGTGGTTTTTTAACATTTAATGTCTAACATTAAACTTCCCTTGTTAATTACTTAGGTGTGCAGTTCTTCTAGACCCATAATGTACATCAACGGTTTATGATCCAACTGATAGTACTGGTTTTTAGACTGCAATCTTTCTTTATCTTAGGACTTTTTGACACTGCTATTAATCAATTTGTGGTCTTGTCCTCATCTCTGATGAGATTTAGATGAGATTTTTTATTTTGAATTTATTTACCTAGTGAACTTCACTATTTTCCATATCATTCATCCTATTTTAAGTTTGAAAATTAATGTTTCGTACTATTGAAAAATACAATGAAATGACATTGCGAGCAGAACAGTCTTGATGGGCCAGTCCTTTACAGTATTGCTTTCTAGACCAGATAGACATTTTTATCTACAAGAACTATTGTTTGGTACTTTTCTATTTTAGTTTTATTTAATGTAGTCCTTGCATATATTTTGTCAATAGTAGTCAAGTGGGCTTGCTGAAGATGAATGTGTTGTCGTGCTTCTTGGTTTGTCTAAGACCTTGTATTTGCTTTTTACGCTGAGATGCTTTTGAACCCAAATAGTTTACTTTGTAGAGTTTGTCATATGTACTGAAATTTTGTTTTCTAATCGGGTTATTTGTCTCGGAGTGGTTGAATGAGTTGGTTTACTAATATAGACTTTCACAGGAGGGCTTGTGGTGTATTGGTTGGCAAAACAGTGGGATGCAATCTAGGGATAGGAAGAACGTTACCCTCTTTGGAGGTAAACTCCATAATTTGTCCGTCTGAATATTAGTTCATGTCTTAAAATTCTAATTCGCCTGCTATTGGCAAGAGGGCATGCTAACTTTTAGTATATCCATAATCCCTCATTCTTCTGTTGATTATACAAGTTGTTTATTCAGGCAGTGTGCTATTATGAGCTCTTGTTTACTGAGAACTTTATGGGTTAAAAATCATGCCATTAACAAAAAAAACTAAATGCTACTTCTATACTGGTCTCTTTCTTGATGATATTACCTAGGTTTTTTTTCTGTTGCTATGACGAAGGCCAAGCTGATATTTGATACATTTTTAGAATATTACAATTAAAACAAGGGGTGAGGATTCAAACCTACTATCTATATAGGGAGAGTAATTAAATGCTGTGACTAATTTGTTCTTTGGTTGATCAAGTTAATATTTCTACTGGGTTCTACCTCAATCCTTCGTCTCCTTTGTTGGAGAAACGTGAAAGCATGTCGAACTCTTCCCGGATGTTACATATAATGGTATGAAATGCAATAATCAGTCCTTATAACACTTGACCATGGAAATAAAATGGTGTCGAGAAAGGATGTAGAGCGTAATCAACCTACTTGTTATAATTATCTTTTAGGTCTTATTTTGCTTGATTGAAGCTTCTTTTTGTTTTAATTTAGCTCCTTTTCTTTGGGGTTGGTTTTTTGTATACCCTTGTATTCTTTCGTAAGACTAAATGTTTTGTCTAAAAAAGGTACTGGTAAAGTACATTAAATATACTAACCAATAGTTTATTATGAGATAAAAGAGGTATATCCGTAATAATGTAGAAAAGGTACATAAGAGGGGAAATTATTTGATATTAGTCTCATTTTCTATCTTCTATTTGCTGCTGTTATAAGTAAGCGTTTGTGTAAATGTGGTTATCCATGGCTTGTCATGTTTCCTCTCTTAGTTCCTACTGAATAGTGGATGGCTTTCTTTCCTTTCATCATGCAACTTTCATATATGTGTTAAATTTAGCAAAAGGCTTATGACTGCTCTTATTTTCTTTGTTCTCATTTTCCCATCTTCTAGGCCTTCATTTATATCTCTTTTGCTTGCAGATTTAGTGCTTTCAAATAAGCTAGTTTTATACGATCTCGAGAACCAGACAATCGGGTGGACCGAATACAACTGTGAGTACAAAGTTTATGCTTCATTGTTTTCAAAGTTATCGCCGCATGTCATTACATGGTTTTTTTGCTCTTTTGTTCCCCACCCAATATTTGCTGTATTTTATCTGAACTTCAGTGCTGGTCCTCAATTTTTTTATGATCCTCCTTTATGTCTTAAAGAAACTCAAAACCCGAGTTCGAATCTTTAAATGTTAAAAGAGACCGATTTGAAGTGTAATAATATTTCTTATTTCGTTTACGAACTGAACAAACATTTGTGACATCTTTGATAAGAAATTAGTGTATGAATATCTGAGATTGTAGTTGATTTTTCAGGTTCTTCAAGCATCAAAGTGCAAGATGAACAAACCGGAACAGTTCATTTAGTTGGTTCACATTACATTTCTTCAGCGTACAGATTGAATACCAAATGGGCTGTGATCTTGCTATTCCTAATCTTGGTGATGCACTGGTCAGCTCATTTCAGATGCCTCAGCTAACACAAAATCCCAACAGCAGGCCCTACAGGTAATATTTTTAGAGCAGACAGAATCAAGTATAGAGAATTCCTTAAAATGTTGAACTCATCTCAGTTGTGTATAATGAAGAGAGAGAAAAAGAAAAGGAAAGAGAGAGAATTTCTCTTTCAAAGTTGCTCATCCAGGGGAGATTATGAAACCTATCATCTCTGATTCATTTGTGTTTAGATTTGTAGAATTGAGTTGGCTATGTCTGCAAAAAGATTCGCAGACCTTCTTCAGCAGTATAGTTTCTGGTAGTCAAAATAGGAGGGCAGGTTGCTTTGTGGTGAACCCCAAGGGTAAAAATGTCAGAAACATTTATTCTACTTGGAGGCGTTGCTCATATTGCTCTCAAATTTCCATGTTTGAGAAGCTTTTTTTTTACTTGTATTTTTTTAGTTAGGNNTAATGTAATTTTTTTTTTTTTTTTTTTTTTTTTTTTTTTTTTTTATTATGAAATTTTCAAATTTTGAGTTTATTTTTTAAACGAATTTCATTCCAAGCGTATTCTTGAACTTTTGTTTTAAAAATCTAAGAGTATTATTATTATTATTATTATTATTATTATTTTGAAAGAATCAGTTTTTAATGGGATGATATTTTTATTAACATCCTAAATGGTTCATTCTCTTTTGTGCATGTGCATCATGATTCTATTTTTTTTTTTTTTTTTTTTACTAAAATTAAAATTAGAGTTTTTATATGGATATATACCAATTTATTTATTGAGTTTTAACTAAATAATTAGGACCAATTAAAAATCTTTGAAAACCATAGATACAGAATTGAAATTAAGTTAACGATATTTAAAGGAATTATTTTTCTTTTTCATTTTCATTTCCTTTAAATCCTTTTTAAATTCTTATTTTATTTTCTGGGGATTTGTTGATAATTATTTATTCATGTTTTTAACAAATTATTAAATTTGGATGGATAATTTTTATTAAAAGAATATAAAACATTATAATAAATTTAATAATATTTCATAAACATAATTTATAAGAAGTTAAATTTCAATATTATAACAAAATCTTCCACTGGGCTCCACGAGTGAACGAGTTAATTAATTTATTTGTAATCAAGAAACTGAAGAAAGATGATGAATGGACATGATTTGGAACGGAGGATTTTGTATTAATTAATTTTGGGATGTTAACAAGTGACTTCCACCATTATCTGTTTCGCGGTCTTTAATATTCAAAGACGAGTTTCTAAAATTATTTAGTTGGAGTATTAATTTGGATGAGGAAAGAGAGCGAGAGAAAGAGAGAAAAAACAGGATCAATTTGGGAATTTTAACTCCGGGAATATGAACGAATCACAAGAATTTGGTCGAGGAGATCGTTGATGTTCTTCCTGATGAAGAACTGAAGAACAATTTGTGAAATTGTACATTCTGTTCTTCTTCTCGGAACGCCAACTATTTCTTAGTAAATCCATATGTGCATTCTCAGGTAAAGTGCCTTTTGAAGATCATAGAATTGCATTTCGTTTTTTTTTTTTTTTTTTTGGTTCTGTCGTTTTGAACTTTTCGGTGATTAATCATTGCCTTTGGTCGGTTTGTCGTTTCTTTTCACTGTCGCCGCCTCCATCGGGTTTCGATCTCCTCTGTTTTCCGCGTTTATTTTGCTCGTCGGAGGAAACTTATGTCTAATCCTTGAGTTTTTGTCGCATTGTTATGTTGATAATTGCGTCGATGTGATTGCTTTCCTGCGTGATTGAATCACTGTCTATGTGCTACATCGGCAGGTTTTGTGTAGGGATCATCACTGAGGAATTTGGAAGTGTCTGAAGAGGATTTCTATCGGTTTGGTAATTGAAATTTACTGCAATCAACAAATTGAAAGGTTGACGACGGTGGATTGCGTCGTTCTGAGTGTTTGGTAGGTCTGGAGTGCTTTCTAAACGTTGTCAGGGCCCTCGGGATGGGATCATGTCTCTCTGGGGAGCGCAAGAACCGAAAGATCGTTTATTCTGAGATCGCTTCCACTTCTCATAATGATGCCGTTTGTACCCGAAAGAGCTCCAAGATGAAGATTACGAGAAGAGGTTGTCCCGCTGATGACGCTACAAGGGAGATGTCGCTTCATCGAGTTCCTGGCCGGATGTTTTTGAATGGATCAACTGATAATGCGACGCTCTTTACTAGGCAAGGCAAGAAAGGCGTTAATCAGGACGCTATGATTGTCTGGGAGGTTTGATTCGTTCTCTCAAATTTTGTTGATAATTTGGTGCCATTGCATGTGAATTTTGATGGTATATCCCTTTTCTGTTGAATGTTAAATATCCACGTTATGTAGAGTATTTCTGTTCTATTTGTTTTCAGGAACTACACATTTTTAGAGATGTGGATTTGGTCGAACATCCTCTATTCTTGACGAGAATAGCATGTAAAGTTAGGGTCAAAATCTATGATATCGTCCTTTTAAGTTCTTCATGGGCAATATTAAAGGATTAGTCTTGAGATACCACGTTTCAAAATATAAATATAAGAAACATGTTTGTTTTTCTTTCTGTGCTCCACCCTTAACTGTTATCAAATTTGTGGTAGTGCTGTACTCGCTTTTTTATTTTTTGTTTTTGTTTGGAGTTGATGTTATTCTTCTCTTTTCCTTCTAATGTAACTGTATTTTTTTTTTTTAATCCTATTTTTGTTATCAGGTATTAAGTTTTGCATTGATGTGATTATTGCTAATAGAGTCCGGTTAAGAAGTCATAAACGAACCCGCTTTGCAAGTAGAATTGTAGATATATGTTGTTGTTTAAAAGTGAATTTTGTGCTCTGTTAGATTTTATTTTTCTGCATTTATGTTTTAATATGTTTTTATGTTTCCTCTGAATGATGGCCTCTCTTTTTTAGAATTTTGGTTCAAAAGAAGATGCAACCTTTTGCGGAGTCTTTGATGGACACGGTCCCTTTGGCCATATGGTTGCAAAGAAAGTCAGAGATTCTCTTCCTCTAAAACTGAGTGCTCAGTGGGAATTGGACGCTACCAGAGAGAATGGGCAAACTGAGGCGAGATGTCGAGTCTCTCCACCAACGCTGATTAACAAGGACTCTGAAATCTCTCATTGTGATCTTGCTCGTCAGGACGGTTACAATGACATGTATGTCAACTTGAAAGAATCTTTTCTAAAGGCTTTTAAGGTGATGGACAAGGAGCTTAAACTACATCCTCATATTGATTGCTTTACCAGTGGTACAACATCAGTTGCTTTGGTCAAACAGGTGTTAATTTTCCTCTCGTCATTTTCGATACTGTTGAAAAGTGCAGTTAATATATGTGGTTTGATCTTCTCCCTTCTTGTGATAAACAGGGTCGGGATCTTATCATCGGAAATGTTGGGGACTCGAGGGCTGTATTAGGTACCAGAGATAAATCTAACTCCCTCATTGCAGTTCAGTTGACTGTGGACCTCAAGCCAAATCTTCCAAGTATGCCTTTATTCCCACTCTCCCTGTAACTATGAATATATCTTTCCGTGTCCTCTTACATCTGTGTATATACTATGTTGTATTCCTAACTTGTCTGAAGGAAATGCAAACACTTTCCAGTCGATTAGAGAGGTCCGGTAAACTCTCCTCTCCTTCTAGAACACTCTAATAGTCAAAAAGCATAAAAATAATGAAAGCCTTCCCTCTCTACTTATATACTTCCTCCCCTAACTGAAAATCCCTTTGATCTACCCCTGGTGGTTCCTCTCTAATGTCACAGCCTTTCTATGTAACTTGTTGTCTCTGCAATTCATTTATTGCCTCTCCATGCATATCGATGGAATTGGGGGCCTAACAGATACTTGTCGGAACCTTTTAGAAATCACTTCATTTTTCATTAAACCATCCATGCCTCGAAGGGACCATCGGGAGTATTGGTGGAAGAGCATTTACTATCAGTTTTTTCTGATGAATTGATGCTAATAATTGATATGAATTGAACATTTCCTTTTCGCTGAAATCTGTAGATACAATATGCCATTACCTCATGAGCACTAACATTATTGTAAAGAACTGTTGATCATGTCCATAGAATTCTCTATTGATTTTGGAATTTTGATTCCTCCTCTGAACAAGGGAACGAAGTGGTCTGTTGACATGTTCTTAAACTTCGTAACCTGGACTCCTAGAGGCCAGCACCCTTTTCTTTTTTCCTGCTTTTGAGTTGGCTGATTATATGAAATATTAGTAAACAGCTCAGTCTTTTTTCCTGCTTGTTCTCTTCTTTTCCTACTTTTGGCTTGTCGTGGCTTGAGCTTTCCTGTTTGCAAAAGAATTACCAACATAAAGCAGGTTTACCATTTACTAATTTACTCAAGTCGTAGGTTATTTTTGTTTATTCGTTTGTTTTTGGTGTAATGGTGTGGCGATCATCATAAATACCTTCCACTATTGATGGTTCAGGATCTCAAATAGAAAGTTCGTGCAAGAGTATTGTTTGTTTGTGTGTATAAAACCTTCTGTTTCTTCCTTCAATAGGGGAAGCTGAAAGGATCAGACTTTGCAAAGGAAGAATCTTTGCTCTTCAAAGTGAGCCTCAGATTTTTCGGGTTTGGCTTCCCAACAGTGATTGTCCTGGTCTTGCTATGGCCAGAGCCTTTGGAGATTTCTGTTTAAAAGACTTTGGCTTGATAGCCGTTCCTGACGTTTCTTATTATCATCTTACTGAGAAAGATGAATTTGTGGTACTGGCTACAGATGGGGTAAGATGTCTAACCATTAATGTAGTGTCAAAAAGACCTTTTCCTCATCCTCATCATTTTTTTAATTAGAAAAAGAAAAGCAGATGGTTGGTTTCCGAGAGATCCAATTGTGAACCTGCCTTCTCATTCAAAGGCATCCCCCTATGTATTCTAATCTTTTTCATTACTTATTCCCTTTCGCAGGTTTGGGATGTTCTCTCAAATGAAGAGGTTGTGGCAACTGTTGCATCTGTTCCAAGATCCTCTGCAGCTCGTAACCTTGTGGATTCAGCTACTCGAGCATGGAGATGTAAGTACCCTGCTGCCAAGGTGGATGATTGTGCTGTAGTCTGCCTGTTCCTGAACTCTAGTGAGACCGCTACAGCGATACCTAAAGAGCAGGTAGAAGCATTCAGAAATCCTGACATCCAGACCAATATGATGAAGTCTAGGAAATCGAAATTATAGATTTCGTTTCCCTTCGTTTCGTCGAAATATTCGAGGAACTCTGTTTCTTACAATTGGATTTTGTTTCAGGAGTTCACTGAGGAAATGGAAACGAAGCTCTCTTAACTTGCTTTGGTCACTATCCTCTCTACCGAAACCTTTGATTGCTGCTTCAGGCGCATTTCTTCGGAAATAAAAGATCTTCATTTCTATGATTATGGTCATTTTCCCTGTTCATCCTGTAAATCGTGATTGATATATATATAGTTTTTTCCTTTTTGTCTTCTCTCCTTTTTATAGAAGAGAGATTTGGTGGAAGCCTTGACTGATTCTGTTTCTCTCTCAGAAATAATATCATGTATAGATAGATAAAAGCTCTTTTTCCTCATGTTTGGTGGATTTGGATCTGTTTTGAATTCCTTTCGTCTCTTTGGTCTACATTTGTTTTCAGTATTGAAATAAGGTAGAAGGAGGGCTTGGAGGAGTTTTTAGAAAGAAACAAAAGGGAAAATACGATGGAATATTGCTCATGTATGCATGTTTAATTTGAGGGTAAAGCCCTCAAATTAATCCATCAATCGTTTTGAAGATAAGAAAACTTGGATCTCTCTCATTACCCGTGTCAAAAAAGCACATAAAATCAAGCTTACATTATTGGTAAGAGCAATAATACTGAAAAAGTGGACAACAGTAAGTCCTAAGATCCCAATGCAAAATGAGAAACATCTGAGAAGAATCACAAGGATCTTTCAATCAAGGAACCTGCAAAAAAGGGGGGATTCTCTAATGAAAATATCCAAGAACCTGACCACCAACATTCCTTTTTATTGCCTCTTCATGATCCATGATGCCTTCTGGAGTAGTAATCACAACATAACCCCACTGTAGAGCCAAGAGAGAGTAGAATATTTGGTTAACATAAACAAAAACTATCACCATTTATGGGAAAGATTGAATGGCGAATAGACTCGGATTCAAATGAAATATATATTTGTCAAAACACCTGACGCGTTGGAAGCGTTCGTATTCTGTAAGCTTCAAGTTCCTTTGCCTTGATGTCCTGCCTGTGGGTGAGAGCCTTGCAATCCTTGATCCTACCTTGCAGCTCAACTGTTATCCTTCCAACTCGTTGTGGATCATGAACTTGAAAGTCATTGATATATCCTATATATAAAATTTGACGACTCCATAAATGTGATGCTTACTGAGTAGGATCACTAATACAAAATTATTGACAGTGATAATAACATTAAAGAACAAGCTATAGGCTAGGTCAATCCTCCTCTCTTTTTTTCAACAAGAAATGAAACTTTTCTTTGATGAATTAAAAGAGACTAAAGCACAAGCAAAACTGCAGAAGGAGTGAAACAAGAATAGACAAAGAATACAAAGGGAAATCAAAATAACAAAAAACTTGAAGAGACGACCCAACAAAAGCCTTCGAAAGAGTACATCATGATGGAGGTTTTAAATGAGCAGACTCCAAATGAACATGTCAAAGAAGGATCCAATGAAAACGTGACAACCAAGTATCGGATAAAAAATCCGCAATAAAATAAAACTCCCAGCAATGAGGGAGCGTCTGCCAAAAACAAAACAAAAGATCACACTCATGGCTGCACAAGAACCAAGACCATTGAGAGAAAAAAAAACACCTCAGCACACCAACCAACCAGAAGGCTCCTCAAGCACCACCTCCGAAAATAAAACCTTATGCACACCAACCAAAAGAAGAAAAAAAAAAAAAGGATCCCTATGCCTAACAACTGAAAGCAATGGTCTCAAGCAAACTTATGAATAGGAATGGAGAGATCGAAAATCACTCCAAAGAAACTTCCTGCCTCTATAATCATGCAGCTCCTCGAGCACCACCACCGAACATTAAACCTTGCGCACAATCAATAGACTTTGTTTTCATTTCAATCGACTGTTCCTCAGTCCTTAACAAAGCATAAAGATGTTCAAAAGTTAAAGGATCTGATCTTGGCTTGAATAGAGGTACGAAAGGCATTGAAATCATTTGGCAAACCATTTAAGATGCATATAAGCATTTCTTAATCATCAACAGTCATTCTGATATTAGCAGGACGGTCTTTAAGATCTTAAGCACATTGGCCATGCAAATCAATCAACTCATTAGACTTCATGGTTCGGGTTTGTAGAGAAGATCGCTATTGAATAATATGGAATTGAGACCAAAAAAAAAAAATTGGTCTCAAGGAGAACCAAAGTGTCACGAGATGTGACATAGCCAACAACCAGCGACAAAAGAGGGAGACATCATTGAATTGATGAGAGCCCTGATCACAAGATCTTGAGCGATCCAATCGCCATACTGTGGATTGATATTTGTGGCAAGCTTGCCATCATCATCCCAAAGAAACTAAGATGGAATTTGGGCAAGATCCGTCAATAAACCCAGATAATTTGTGAGCCCGAAGGATAGGTAAGATCTGATGATGCCAAAGAGAAAAATTGATGGAGTCAAGTTTGATAGACACGAGATTACAAACATTTGACAGAAGACGAATGAGGATAGAATCGGTGGTAGTGGGAATGGTAGCAGTGTGGAAGAAGAATGTGAAACGATCAATAATACTCTAGTGTATTATTTATGAACACTTCAACCTGTTTATAAGAGTAACTAAGCTCGACAATATAGAGGAGCATAATGAACATTAATAACAACAATTTGTTTCAAACAGAAACTAATTACTACATAATAAAGCACAATACAAGTACATATAACATCAACCATGAAGAAAAAAAAGATACAAAATGATTACAAAAAAAGCTCAACATGAAGGCAATGCCAATATGAATCGGTCAATTGCAGGCACTGGAGCAGAAATCCCATGTAATTAATAGGGCCTAACAATACTGTAAAATCCAAGTTAGTCCCGCACCCAGAAAGCTGAGAGAAACGTAAGTTTTACCATGATCTTTCATGACTTTAAGGAAGGAAGACATAACAGTAGAAATGGGTTTCAGTTCCACCGTAGCTTTTCCCCTCCTCTCAGCATTTACAATAGCTCTTAATGCATCGTTCAATATCCTCCTTCCCATATCTTAGAGTACACGAAAAGTCACAAAACCTGAGACCAAATTTCCTCTATCATGGCGTTTTCCTACGTTACCTATAAAATTCTGACACAAGACTCGTGGAGAAGAAATTTCGAAATGGAAATTGATAGTGATGTTACCTGCGACCTATTTGAACCGGTGAGGCAGAATAGAAAACGACGGCGCGGTTGGTTCAGCCCTAACTCGAGATACGACTTTGAACTGCAGTGGAAGAAATGGAGGCGGTGAGGCAGAAGAGGAAACGACGGCGCGGTTGGCTCAGCCCTAACTCGAGATACGACTCCGAACTGCGGTGGAAAGAAATGGAGGCAATTTTCACGAAGGGCAATTTTCAAAACTACAAAATTTGGAAAAATAGTCTTTTTTTATTTTATTTTTACGAATTTTATTGTAAAATTTCATTAAAAAAAAATTATTATATGCTTTTAACAATTCAAAATTAATAATATTTCATAGCATTTGAGTCTAGTTTTTTTTTTTTTTTTTTTTTTCGTTAAAATTTGTGAATTGCCCGAACATTTAAGTCTTTTTTGCCCTAAGAGCGATTGGTCATGGGGTTATTTAGATTAGGCGGTTAAAGAAAGCTCGGGTCCAATGGGATAGGACTCGATTGCTCATGGGTTCGCCAACCTAGGCTCAATCAAACCCAAACTCGCTTCCTAAAGAACATATGATTTTAGTCATTCCTCTTCTGAGTTGTTATCTTCGAAATATATTTCGTAGAGTTAGAAAGTTTAAAACATAGCTCTATTTACACCTTATAGGTAAAATATATATATATATTTTTTTAAAATTTTAGCTAAATTAATATTAAAAAAATATTTGTTAGATGAACACGACTCTCCACAATGGTATGATATTGTCCACTTTGAGTGTAAGCTCTTATGGCTTTGCTTTGGGCTTCCCAAAGCCCAAAAGACCTCATACCAATGAAGAGTGTATTCTTAGATTATAAACTCATGACCATTCCCTAAATTAGCCGATGTGGGACTTTTATCATCCAACAATATTAAAATCCGAAAATTAAATATGGAATTCTTAAATTTAAAATTTAAAATTTAAGGTTAGAATGTTTGAAATATCTAAAAGTTTTAAACACATTTAAATATATATTCACATTACACATTTTTATTTATTAAACCATATTCAAATTAAAAATTTATTAAAATCAGCTCCAAATTTTTATTTAAAGCACGACAGGTAAAAGCTAAAATATTTATTTATTTATTATTATTATTTGAAATTTGGTGAACTAAACTAAATATTTAATAATTATTTATCAGAACTTAAAAGCTAAGGAAATATTTGAAAAGTTCGGAAATAACATAAACCGTTAATTTAAGAGATTAGAATTTAGATAATACTTTGACACATTTTTAAACAGGGAAATGAAAAATATTAACCTCAACCGGCCGTTGATTGGTCTGTCACCATTGTTGCGTCACCCTCTTGATGAAGAGAATTTCCGAAGCCGCGTTTGTGTGAATTCAACGATCTTTAAATTTGGTTTAACCAAAAAAAAAAAAAAAAAGTAAAGAGAGAGAAAGAGAGCTTTAACAACAAACGTTTCGCGCGATCTCTCTCTCTATATGAGAAATTTGCGTTCTCCTCGCATATGCTAGCATTTCAAATTCCGTAACAGGTAAGATCGGAGAGAGATCGAATTTTCTGGAGGAGAGTTTAGAAGCCTACACGATTCTGAATCCATGTTCGTTTTCAGTGTGGTTGCGTGTTTATTTTGAGTTTTTCTGTTGCAGTTGCCGCGGTGTTGGATCTAGCTAGCTCGTTTTACCGTCGGGGGAATTCTCGTCGAGCTAATTCTTCCTTGAATGCTCGGCTCTGGAGGCGTGTAGATCAGGTGGGTTTTATGATTTGAGTGGATTGACGCTAATTTCTTTTCATGCTTTAACGACTGCACTCAGTGAAGCTGAATTTGGGTTCTTACCTCACCTATTGACATCGAGCTACTCGGTTTTGTTTTTGGGAATTATGATCTTGTTACATTGCTTTGATGAGGATCTCTGAAATTCTCTTTTTGTTGTCTTTGAAACCGTCGAGTAACGAGGTCTATTGATAAGATCTGACTGAATTTTATTTTGTTTTTTTATGGATCTACGGTTTGGGTTATTTTATTTTATTTGATTACTTTTTTTCCTTTTAACTGATTGGGCCGGATTTTTGGCTTTTAACATCTGTTTTGAAGGTGGGGATGGAGATTAGACTCTATGCTCAATTGTGTTTTTTTGAATGTGGGAACGATTGAGAATGTATAGTTATGGATCTACGAATGCCTTGCGTAGTTACTGTAGGCAATTGTTTATGATTATCCTCCAAGTTGGCGAGATTGTGTTAATAAGAGAAACATGATCTTTATTTCGATTTGACTTACGGCAATTGCATTGTATAATGTTGTTTTTCTGATCTCAATGTCCACCATCGTAATGTATCTATCTGTTTTTAAAATAAGAAACATAACCTTCATTAGCTGAAGTTTGTATTGTTTATAAATTGTCTGTTGGTTACTAAGTTTTAATTCGTTGGGGATATTGATTAGGTCTCTTGGATTTCATTTCATTACACAGGGTTGGTGTACTTTTTTGGTTTAGAGTCAGTCTGAGCAAGCAATAGTTTTGCGGTAGGCTGATGAAGAACGGAATGATAGAATGCAGTGTTTGTCACTCCAAGTTGGTTTCACCCACTACAAAGGGTATATCCAGGGCATATGATCGACATAAGAACAGAGTATCATCTAAGCAACGAGCCTTAAACACCCTCTTGGTTGTTGGTGACTGTATCTTGGTTGGTTTGCAGGTGATTGTTATCTCTGACCTTTGCTTAATTTACTTTTCTATGTCGTGAATTCTCAGTAAAATGTAGTGATGCAAAAGATTTATCTGTTTTTTTCCCTTCCTTTATGAAATGGTTTTGTGCAAGACATCGCTGTTGTTTTGTCCCAATCACTAGCTGCATCCCACACTGCAAAGCCTACTAATTACTATTATTTCTCAAGCTTAATTGGACCAGCAAGACACCTCGACAACCTTTATTCAGTCTTTTTATTCATGGTTGTCCTTCTGTTGGTCCAAGTTGTTGTCATTGTCCACTATCGTTCTCCTCCATTATTCCTTGCCTCTCTGTTGCTAGTTGCATCCCACGCTGCAATGCCTACTTATTACATCCCACTCTGCAAAGCCTTCTGATTACTATTATTCCTTATGCTCAATTGGACCAACAAGACACCTCTTCTTCTTCCTTTCTTTTTTTGCTTTCCACCTCCTCCTCCTTCTTCAAGACCTTTGATCTCTACTTGAACCCAATGAAAAAAATAGCATCGCTTTTTATGGATTCGTTGAGAATGATTCCGATCTAGTTCATAGCCTATTAGAAGAAGAAAACATTTAGTTGGGATCTTCAAAGATAGAAAAAGATTGCAGTTAATGTGTTCAACCTTCAGAAACTTTTGCAAATAGCAATTATGGAATGTAATTAATTGCTTTAGCACAACTACCACTGTTGCCTCTATACATTAATGGAACTTATCTCACTGTGAGTAAAATTCAGTAAGTATCAATTTTTATGTAGAAATCAACTCAATCGTTTCTTGTCAAACCATAGAAAGAAAACACTAGATGACAATATTTTGTTTCTGGTATTCAAGAATGAGATATGTTACAGTTTACATGGAAGATTGCCCATAATAACAGATAGGCAGGTGCTCCCACCGACCCCCATCCTCCCCCCCACACGAATCTTCCTTTTCTTGTTTGATGCTACTTGGACTTCTGTTGATAACTGTTGAAAAAGGTCAAGTTTTCAAGTGAACTATCGTTTTTAAATGTCTAACATTGGTTCATTTTCTTTGACAGCCTATATTGGTTTATATGTCCAAGGTGGACGGGAAATTCAAGTTCAGCCCAATTAGTGTTAACTTTTTGACTGAGATTGCAAAGGTTCTCTTTGCTGTTGTTATGCTGATAATACAGGTACTTATTGTCTTGGAAACTGGAAATATATCTGAACAGTTTTGAGCCTACAGTGCTCAGTTTGAATGGATATCTCAATCGTGCTCACGTCAGTTTATACATTCGCTAATTCTGTCTGTTTGCAATACAAAAAATTATTTCTTTTAATGTGGTGGGTGATAAAAAAAACACAACTGACTTTCATTTCTTTCTCAAATGAAAGTTGTTTTGATAAAAGAATCACACAAGTGACTCTTGAACTTTTCTGCTTGTTTGGGTGCTTTTGTTGGAGAGAATAGGCAAGGGAGAGACTTTATATTTTATAATCCTTTTGCAATCGTTAATTTTATTGTTATATCTGTGAGTGTCCAGGTTAATTTTATTGTTATATCACTGACATACGATTTTAAATGAGTTGCTTTTGGTATAGCTTTGGAATACTTAGATTTTTTCATCTAAATTCTCGTGAAAGCATCCATTGAATTTCTAGATTGAATTGCTTCCAAAACGACCCTATGGCCTATGCATCTGGCTTAATTTTAACTCTTACTATGAATTCTGCAGTCTAGACATCAGAAAGTTGGGGAAAAGCCTCTTCTCTCATTATCAACATTTATGCAGGTTACTTTTCTCACATGACCATTTTCTAATTAATTATCAATAGTTGCTATCGAATATAATCTTTATGCCTGATTTTCTGAAGTAAATATTTTAGATTTACATGAATTGAGATAGATTTTGCCATTATTAATGGGGTAGGGAGGTTGGAGGTATTGATTCTACCCAAAGTGAGATAGCATTCTAGTGCTAACTATTCTTTGCCAGTTAGGTTAACTACTCTGCAATGCAACATACTATGTGATTATTTATTTATTTATTCTCATTTTTAAAGAAAAACCATACTTGCATTGAGTAAATGAACAGATTTACTACCCAACAAAAAAAGCGGAATTCCTAGCCAAAACCAATGGGAAAAGCCAAACCAACGAACACTAATTAGCAACACACCAACTGTTGAGATAATAAGAAACAAAGGACAAATACAAAACCCCCTTGCACAGATGGCCGTCCATAAGGGGGTGTTGAACCTAGACGAAGACCAAATATTCCTTCAAGACAACTCCACACTCCTAAGATCCTTTGATTTGTCTAGAGCCAAATGTTCCAAGAAATAACTAAAAATGTGATACTTGGAAATCTTATCTTATGGGGCTTCTCTAAGCTGAGGGTTTGGAATTTAAATGTTGGCTTGAACTTAGTTTGCTTAGTTTTCTTTTTGAAGCTTATGGATTCTCCAGATCATTTAATTTGTTTACCTGTGCTAAGAGGTTTTACTCTCTTTTACGGACAGA